GTAATAATTTTAACACAACTTAAAATTCTCCTCGTCATTTCCATATATTTTCTTCATGATCCCATTTCTCATATATTGGTCTATACAACCAAGTTTGCTTTATAAATTGGTTCAAAATCTTCTTTTGTAAGAATATCCAACATTGATAACCCTTTCAAAAGGAATCCATTCAATTTATAATACTTATAATTAATTTTATTTCATTCTTTTATTAGATTGTTGCTATCTTTATCTCCGCTAGACAATTCTTCATTATAAATTCATTTTGATATTAAAACAGTCTTCGCAATACTCATCTGTTCGACAATCTGTATATTTACTACAATCATGAGCATCGTGAATAAAACACTCATCACAGTATCTATTCCTTTGACAACGCCAAAATTACTACAATCATGTGTATTTGATTCCATTTTTGAGTTACTTTACAATAGTGCTCCGAAGGGGTCGGGTTTTGGAACATATTCATATTCGACCTGAGTATAAAAATTAAAACATATAAATACTCAGGTTAGCATTTACAGTGACTCACTAAAGAAACGGAACGCGGAAAAAATGGCGAGACTCGAATGCCTCGCCATTGAAGAACCAGAAGAAAGTGGATTTTATTCATTAAAATAATCACAATCACTCAATACAATTTTTCTTTTCATCTATCTTTTGAAATTAAACTAACTTGAATTTTTAATTTTTTTTAGCGTTCCGTCTATTGTGACCGATCTAGAGGATAATATTTAAAGGCAAGTTTCTCCTTAAGGAAATATCAGCCATTGTTTAAAAAAACCACACATCACTAAACTAAGACTATCATTGACCCTTTGTGACATCAAATTGATCAACCTTTCACAAAAGTCAATTTCGATGCTCCAAGCAATTTGTAGCTTTTTCCACAAATTGGTTTTATTTAAAAGTGGACCAGGGAGATTCCTCAAGAGTGTATTAACTTCGTTCCATAAATTTTCGATTGGATTCAAGTCAGGGGACTGGCGGGCCAATCAAGCAAAGTGATGTCGTTATCCCCGAACCATCACTTGGCTTTTCCGGAGATATGTTTTGGGTCATTGACTTGCTGAAATATGGAATCACTATCTTCCAGCATTTTCTCATAAATTGTGTCTAAAAAATTGGTATTTAATATATCGACGTAGATTTCAGCATCCATTTTGCCATCGATTTTTCAGAGTTCACCAACTCCATTGGCAGTTAGGCAACCCCAAACCATAATGAAAACTCCACCAAATTTTACGGTTGGAATAACATAGTGGTCTTCTAATTGTTCACCAGGCTTCTTCCAGCACCATTTGCATCCGTCTGACCCAAATAATTGGAACTTGCTTTCGTCGGACCAAACTATTTTCTGCCAATCATCGACCGTCCAGTTTCGATATTTTTTGCCCATTCTAATCGGAGATTTTTGTGTGTTTTTTAAGTAATGGCTTTTTTCACTTAATCCTTGCGAATAAACCATTTCTTCTAAACATACACCATATGCTTTCCACTGAAATTTCGACTCCCAGTTCAGCTTGGAGCTCATGTTGAACTTGGATGGCGGTAGTGCATTTTCCAGATGATATTAATCGGATGGCATTCCGTTCGTAACGATCCGAAAGAATGCGTGGTGACCGGGTTTTGGTTTATCTTCAAAGTTTCCGGTTACTTCTTTGTTTTTACAGATGCGTTGGACTGAAGCTAAGCTCACCTGTTCCGATAATGCAATTTCCCGGACCGAATATCATTCTTGTCGGAGAGTGTATATTTGTGAGCGTTTTTCTAGTGAAATGCGAGGCATTTTGAAATTAAAAAAAATGGTTAGAATTTTTGTTTAGAATAACGAAAGTGTTCTATAGATATTGTAGTGGAAAAAGAGTGCTTTTATACTTATCTTTATAGGCCTGAACTTTTTTGTCCAAATCGGCCACATTACACGGAACGCTAAGAAAATTTAAAAAAATCATTAACTTGTGAAGTAAAAGATAGATGAAAATAAAATATGCATTAAATGATTGTGATTATTTAATGAATAAAATCCACTTTCTTTTGGTCTTTGATAATTCTTCAATGGTGAGGTATTCGAACCTCGCCATTTTTTTTCCGCGTTCCGTTTCTTTAGTGAGTCACTGTATATAACCTGAACTCGACTTAATCCTTAATCAACTGACTTGTGACTCGAACAGACTTGAATTTTATTTAAAAATATATTCTGGACCAAATTGGAATGATCTGGTTGATATTCAGAACATTTAAGAAAATCTGATATGTTCTGGACCATTTTGAATTGTTTACATTAACGTCGATTATGTTAACGATTTGGTTTTTTTGAACAATTTTTATGTATGATCTCTTTGAAGGTTCAATATCTCAAGACTCAGTGGTGGGAATTAGGTGTAAAAGCCACTATTTGACACACCAGTACTTAGGGAACGAATGATCACTTTAAATTAAAATTCCTGCCACTGGGCCTTGAGATATCGAACCCCAAAGAGGCCGTGCACAAAAAATTGTTAAATAAAATTCCCATATGGCCTCTTGGGGCTCAATATTTCAAAAATCTGGTGGCAGAAATTGAGTACAAGACCCACCATCTGATTCCTAAGTTCTGGTGAATTGAATCGCTCAATTTCCATCATTGAGTTTTGAGATATTGAGCCCTAAAGAGGTTATACATAAAAATGTTCAATGATCATATCGATATGATAATCTGAGTTTTCCAAACGATCACCCGGATTGCAACAAAGATATGACCCTGACTAGTTGATTAAATTTAGTACTCGTGTAGTTAAGTAATAATCCCTACCTACCCGATTTAAAACTCAGGTCGGGTTAAATAATCCGAGTTGATTCGATCGTTTTGGATCACTACTTTATAAAATGCTTTTACATGTATATCGATATACATGTATTTGCAAAATCGCCATGTGTTGCATAAGTTATTACTATCGAATACTGATTTTGTAGCTTGGTCTTTGGTTATTCCATAAACAATAAACCAACCGAATTTAAGATCTAAGTTTAAAAATGTTGATTATATCAGTAAACAAAAAGCAACTCTCACTTTAAAAAATGTTCATTTTTTATGAACTCTAGAGTAATTTACTTTGATGATTTCAACACAACTTCTCATTCTTCTCTATATTGGGTAAATATGTTTCCCTCATGATTCCATTTGCGTAATGGACCATCCAGGTTGCTTTATAAATTTAAATATTCAACGTTGGTAAATCTTTCAAAAGGAATCCAATTCAGATATACATGTATTTGCATATTTATAATTAATTTTATTGTATTCTTTTATTAGATTGTCAATATCTTTATCTCTTTTAGATAATTCATCATTATACTGTAAGTTAATTTGAAATAGTCATAGCACCACTCATCTTCTTGACAATCAGTTCACTCATTACAATCGGTTCATTCATTACAATCGGTTCATTCGTTACAATCAGTTCATTCATTACAATCATGAGTATTTGAACTAAACAATCATTGCAGTATCAGTTCTTTTGACAGTACATCTGGTTTAAATACATGTAAACGATATGCATGTGCTGCTTACTACATGTAGTACATATACGTTTAAAGGATACTGGATATCTATTCTCCTATTCGTCTATTTTATAGTACATTCTAATTTTAGTTATTTCATGTGCGACAATCATTTTCCAAATAATTTTGAATCACACTGTAACGGTAATAGTTGGAGTTAATATACCGATACTGTATTTAGTTATTCCGTAATAGTTATATGACCTGCATAGTAGTCTGAATCTCTATTTATAAAAAATTTGATTGTATCAGAAACAAAAAGCAATTTTCACTTTCATTATTAACTCGTGAAGAATAAACTCTTGAATAATTTGCTTTGAATTATGTAATGATTTGAACACAACTTCAAATTCTCCAATTCGTTTAAATTTATTTTCTTCTTAATCCCACTTGGAATAACTATAAGTAACCAATAATGGTCCATCTATCCAGGTTGCTTTATAATTGATTGACCCAAAAATTCTTTTTGCAAGATATTCAAGGTTGGAAAATCTTTCAAAAGGAATCCATTCAAATATATTATCTCTTCGTTGATTTTGTAGTGATATTATACATTCGATAGACAATGGTCGCTGGGTGTCGAAAAATATCATTTCTGTGACCTTTGTCTAATAAGTATATAAACACTTATGGAATACAAAGAAGTCGATAACGACACATAGTTTTCTCCAATCATTTTATTGGGCCCACATATCTTACATCATGTTTCAAGTTACCACAATATTTATTAATCGATTCAATTCTCTTCGCATTTTTTTAGGAAAGTAACCTGTTCGCTTGCTGAACGGGTTCTCCTTTTTAGATCATTTAGCAATTTAATAAAAAGAACTCACAAATATGAATTTTTTGTTACTTGCTATTTATCGTTTTATCTCTTGTTCTTGTTTGATTCTTTCCCATGGTGAATCCCAATTTCTATAATACAGTACGTGCGAGCGTAAATCCACCGATGATAATTCTTTTAACAATAAACTGCGCAAGTAAAATAGAAGTTTGCAGACACGAGCTGCCACTAAAGATGATGGAGGAAAAAGAATTAACTGCCCAATACAAAAACATAACTCGAAAGCAAGCCAATTCATCATTTTTATATAGATGGACTTGTGAAAAGTCTAAAAAAGAAAGCGGTGGAGATTGGTTTTGCAAAAATCAAAATTGCATCTTGAATACAAATACTATCTCAAGGATATTCAATAAAACTTGGCCAAATCTCCCCAAAACCTTCAAAAATATTTTTAATGAATTGTATGAAAATATAAAAGAAAGACGTTTGAAACCACAGACAGACTTTATATTCATAACAGATGATCGAAGTTTACATAACAAAAATGCCCTCGGCTTGCAAAATAACAATCAAACCTCTTATGATAGTTCGATTAATAAAATTGTAACTACGCATACAAGTAATATTTGCGGTAATTCGTTAATCGATGCGAACGGTGCGTCCTCTTATTTAAATGGCAATCGGGATTTCTTACGATGATGCATTTAATACCAATATTTACGATAATTCATCATTATATCCGGATGGCACGTATTCTAATTTAAATGGGACTTTTTACGATAACTCTCTTAATATCTCTACAACCAGTAATCACGATAATTCGTTAATCGATCTCAGTGACGCATCCTTTAATTTAAATGGCAATCGGATTTCTTACGATGATTCACTTAATGCCAATATTTACAGAATTTGTCAATTGATTTTGATGGCACATCCTCTAATTTAAACAGTGATTGGGCTTCTTACGATATCGCTACGACTACATATACAAATAATCTTTACGATAGCTCGTATATTGATCCGTGTGGTACGTCTTTGAATTTAAATGGATTTGACTATCTAAAATTAAGATGAATAGATAATATGGTTCAGTGCAAAAAGATTGGTACATTAGATAAACATTAATAGATTATTTTTTCAAATAAAATTTTAATTCTGTCCTATTTAATTAAGTTATTAGATATTGGGATTGAATTCATTCTTGAAAGAAGTAATGATAAAGATATTTAACCAGTCAAAATCTAGATCATTATTTATATTAACTGATTTAACAGGTACTTCAAGTAATTCAACAGTTATTTGAGTATCCAAGAGAAAAGTATTATCAACTTTAATATTTTTAGTAAAACCAGGTTGCATAAGTAAATCCAAGAACATAATATTAGTTTCTTGTCCTGTATTATCACAGGTAAGTAATCTATAAGTTGAAAAAGTAATCATTCCAAAAGATTGATGAGCAAGTATTTCCTGATAGATCTCTCCAAGAGATTTGATCATTGAAGGAGTAATTCAAGTAGGTAATTGAGACATGATAAGAAATAATAAAAGTGAAAAGTATAAAAGTATTGAAAAAGATATAAGATAATAAAGATAAAAAGTAATAGATAAAAGTAAAATGTAAAAAAATAAAGAAAAAAGAAAGAAAATAGAGGGGATATTTATATAAAATTTGAACTAAAAAATTTACTATAAGTGATAAGATATTAAAAATATTGGGATAAGAGTAATAAT